TACCATATTTTAAAAATGATTAATAGCTGATCAACATTTGGGTTGTCTCTCCCTTTTGACTACCAGGAATAATTCTCAAAAAGCATTCATGTATACGTTTTTGTGTGGATATGTTTTCATTTCTCTTGGGATTTCCTAGGAATGGAATTATTTGGTCATATGATAACTTGATGTTTAACAGTTTGAGGAATTGGCAAATTGCTTGCCAAAACAGTTGCACCACTTTACATTGCCACCAGCAGTGTATGAGGGTTCTGATTCCTCCACATCTTCACCAACACTTGTTATATGTCTTTTCATCATAGCCATCTTTGTGGATGTGAAACAGTGTCTTCTTGTGGTTTTGATTTGCATTTCCCTGATGACCAGCCATGCTGAACATCTCATCATGTGCTTACTGGCCATCTGTACATCTTCTTTGGAGAAAAGCCTATTCAGATCCTTTGTTCATTTTTAAATTTATTATTAGTAGTGTTATTATTTAGTTGTGAGAGCTTTTTACATATTATTGATACAGAATATTATCTTTTATGGGCCCATGCTTAAAACTCTCTTCCAAGTTCTGCCCTGGAGCTACCAGACCCTGCTTTGTGCCACATGACTCTACAGAAAGCCTGAAGCGCCTTGGAGGTGTAAAATATCCTCCAGAGTTCCCCCAGGCAGTCACGCAGAGGCTGGGACTTGGTCTGAAATTGCACCTTGGCTTCCCTCCCTTCCCTATTCTGCTTTCCTTCCTGGTTTCTTTTGTGATCGCCTCTTCAATGAATCACCTGTACCTGAATCCTCACCACTGGGTCCACTTCTGGGAAACTTGACCTAAGAAAGAACTTGGAATGGCTGAGGAACTGAAAGCAAGTTAGTGCTTCTGGAACTCAGAAGACATGGAGATTGAGATGAAGCTGAAGTGGAGGGCAGAGGCTGACGACACAGGGTTGTAGATCACAGGAAGGTTGGGTTTTTATCTGGAGAGCTGTGGGGTGCTACTGTTCAAGGCTAAGCAGGGCGGTCATTATTTTACATTTTGAAAGACCCCTCTAGTTTCTGGGTGGATAACAGATGAAGGGGATCCAAGTGACTGCAGGAAGACCATTGAGGACCTTGTTATGGTTGTCTGGGGCTAGAGACTGGAGGCTGGGATGAGGGTGAGGAGGTTGGAGGGAGAGAGAAGTAGAAGATAACAGATCAGGAGAGCGGATTTATGGGTTAAGGGGAGGTTCGAGGACAACTCGCAAGTTTCCAGCCTGGGTGCCTGGATGGACGGTCAGTGCACAGAGAGGGAAGCAGGACTGGGAGGGCAGATCAGCGGTTCCATGTACAAAACACCACCAATTTTCCTTCCCTGGTCTGACCGAATGCCTCCATTTCACAGATGGGGAAAGGAGGTCCTAAGGAAGTGCATGGTTACCCAGAGTTCCCCAGCATGCCTCAGACAGAGGGGAATGGGGTCCCCAGAGTCCTGCTGCCTATCCAGAGCACTTACCCTGCAGGGGGCTCTGGCTGTGGCCTCAGAGAGCTATTTTCAGCTGGAGTTTGGGACCAGGCAAATTTGTCCTGGGCTGGAAGCCAATTCACAACCCCTGGAGAGCAGAACATCTCTGCTTTATGAGGTCAGACTATATTCTGACCCCAGCCAGCCACCCTGTCTGGGTCTAGAGTGGGAAACAAGAGGGCACAGTGGTGTGAGGGGCCTACCTCAGAGTGGCTGACCTAACACAGGTTCATCCGCAATCGTGGGGTTGGCATCGATTCAAAACCAGGTCCATACCCTGCACCTTCCCCTTCTCGGCCCCTTTCCTGGCTGTGTGACTTTGGGCAACTCATTGCCCCTCTCCAGGCCTTAGTCTTCCAATCTGTAAAATGGGGACATCTCAGGGTATGACTTCTGTGACCTAAAGGGTTGTAGTAGTAAATATCAGCTGAGAAATAGACGGACAAAAAAGTGCTTTGTGAACTGTAAAGTGCCTAGACTTCCATTTGGGCTCAGTCCTATCTCTGCCCCGCATACTGCCCAGCAGTGAAAAGTCTTTTCAGATCTTTGTTCCTTCACAAGATGGCTGCTCCTCTGGAAAGGAAGAAGGCTTGGTGCGGAATGCAAGGATCCAGAGATCTTATTTTTCTGACCCAGCAGGCTTGACAAGGACAGATGGGAAAACTGAGGGGCACCCATCTACTCAGAGCCACTAGGCTGTTAAGCCTGGATTCAAAAGCAGGGCTCTGCAAGATGAGAAAGAGCCTCATCCATCCAATCCCTCCATTGGAAAGTTGGATAAACTGAGCATCAGAGAGAGGAAGCAACCTGCCCGGGGTGACCAGGCCATCAGCAGCAGGGCAGAGTGGCACCTAAGGTGCCAGACTTCCAGGCTATGACCCTCCTTCCCCTTGCCTGCCAGTGTTCCCATTACAGTGGGATGTTCACAGTCACATCACTGGCTGACTTGGGGTTCCTTGAAAGCCCATCTTCTTCCATCAGAGCAGACCTCAAACTTTGTTGAGAAATCCCAAGGAGAGGCACTGGCCACTGCCTCTTCAGAGCAGCCTCTCAGAGGCCGAGGCTTTGCTGATTCAAAGCTATGTCGTCACTTGTAGGGAGTCTCTGGGGGAGGCCATGCCATGCCCCTACTGTGGGCAGGTTTGGGCAAAGCCAATAAACTAGGCCCAGGTCAAGTCCAGCTCTGCTCCTCACTGTGGCACTGGGCAAGGTACCTCCAAACCTGTCTGAGTTTCAGTTTCCTCCTCAGTAAAATGGGGTGGAGTCAGTCCTCATGGTGCTGTAAAGCTTTTAAAGGAGTTAGCTCAAGCTAGGCACAAAGAAAATGCAAAAGAAATGTTAGCTGTTATTATGCGTTATTCTTATATTTTGTTACTCATTATGATATTTCATTTCTGCATTCCCTTCTCCCGCAGGGGACGCTGTGAGGGGAGAGATTGTTGGGGTACAGTTCTTTCTGCAGACAGAGGAATGTACCAGGTAACCTTGGGGACTCCTCCCACCAAGGATTCTTAGACTACCCATGCCCCCTTTGCTCCCCTTCCTTCCAGCAGTAGCTGTGGTCTCTCACAAGTCAGCTTCCATCCTGGCACCCCAGGTTCCCTGGCTCCCTGCCTGTGGTCCCCACTGGCTGGATGCTGTTGCTATGGCAACAGCATTTTTAAGCACCTTCAGCCCTCTCTGAGGTGACAGGCATGGATGGAGATGGGCTGATCCAATGCCTCATGCATCCTTGGGCCTGTCTGGATGGAAGGCAGGGAGTGGAATGCAAGAATCACACCTGGCTGTGGGTGGGGGCGGCTCAGGCCCCAGCCCTGGGTGTTCCCGAAGTGCAACCCCATCCCGCTGAGTCACAAAGGAGGAGCCCTTGGCTACAAATGCAGATTCCAGCCACCTGCCAGCCCCAAGAGTGCTGTAATGTCTGGGGTAGTGTTCCCTAGGAAGAGGCCTTTTGATGGGCTCTGCTCCTGGCTCCGGGCAGGCCCTAGACCACACCTGCAGAAATCTTGAGTCTTGGAAGATTCCTGAAGCCATTTTAGGTACTCAGTGTGAGACTCTTGGCTGGGACAACTCCTGAGAAGCCCTATTTGTCCCCCTCTGCCTGTCCCAGGCCTGCCTCTCTGCCCTTCACAGCCTCATTGTGGGGACATGTGCCCCCAGCCTCTTCCTGGAGCCAGGAAAAGTCAGGGCTAGGTGACCAAGAGGCCACTTCAGTAATGCAGCCTGCTGCAGAGATGGGCAAACACTTTCAGCTTAATGACACTCCAGAGAGATGCTGTCAGGGTCCACTCTGGGCAGTGTGAAGGTTGGGGCTTCTGGATGCTCCATCTAAGATCCAACAGATGGGCCCCTTCCCACGGTCTGCAATCATTGGGACCCAGCCACCCACAGAACCCCAATGGCACTGGGCCACAGAGGCTGTGCCTCTTTAGGTGGCCATTGGACAGGGAGGGGGACAGAAGACACAGTCCAGGGAGGCTTGGTGGAGAGGTGAGAAAGGCAAGGGATTCTCTATGGAGGACAAGGACAGGATTCCATGGGGTTCCTTGAACTTGGGAATGAAGGCCCATGCCTGGTGAAGGAGCCTCGTGAGACAGGGAGCACAGAAGACAGGCCCTGCCCTTCTGAGCACAAGAACCGGCCCCCGGCTCCACGAGGCGACTCTCTTTGCCCAGGCCAGTGGAGCTAGCTGTGCCTGCCGTCTACGAGTGCCAGTTCCTGAGGGCTGGCAGATAAATGCCTCGGGTGCCTCACCCCTCGGGGGGTGCGCCAGGACTCCATGCTGTCTTTCGGAGATGTCCAGCAAGATCCAGGTGAGGCACAGCGGTCATACCTGTAATCCCAGCACTGTGGGAGGCTGAATCCAGAGGGTCGCTTGAGCTTGAGACCAGCCTGCCGGGGCAACATAGCAAGGCCCCATCTCTACAAAAAACAAATAAACAGCTGAGCATGGGGGTGCGTGCCCGTAGTCCACCTACTCAGGAGGCTGAGGCGGGAGAATTGGTTGAACCCAGGAATTTGAGGCCATGATTGTACCTCTGCACGTCAGCCTGGACACCACAGTGAGACCCTGTCTCTGGGGAAAAAAAAAAAAAAGCAATTTCAGCACTTTGGCAGGCCAAGGCAGGAGGACCACTTGAGTCCAGGAGTTTGAGACCAGCCTGGGCAGTGTAGTGAGGCCTCACTTCTAAAAATAAAATAAAATGAATTTTTAAAAATGATTAAAAAAGAAAAAATTTACTTGACAATGTAGCTTCATTCTTTACTCCCTTCGCAGACTTACCTCCAACGACCCCAGCAGCGGTTCCTGGATCAGCACCGAACGTACTGATCCTACTGAACCACTCCTGAGTCTCCCCAAGGATTCTGTATGAGGGCAACGCTGGCCTTCGTGCCCGAGGGAAGAGCTGTGTGTTTCTGAGTTGCAGGTGGGCGTCTGCCTGCCTTTGAGGGAGACTCTGGAGGGGTCTGTGCCCACAGGTCTTTCCATGGCAATGAGAGCCTGGAGGGATGGAGCCAATCACACACGTTATTGCACCCCAGTTCTGATGCCCACTCTTGCTATTCTGCATGGGCGAGGATCGGGTCTTCTGGGGGTTTTCTGGAGCCAGGGGCAGGTCAACAGTTCTCATCCTCCCAGCAGAGGCAGAATAGGGTAAAACTGGAGCTCCACGGCAGCGTCTCAATGGGACTAACCAGAGCTCCCGGCTACCCCTCTGGCTGGGCCCCATCCCAGTGCCCCTGGAGGCTGGTGCCACTGAAGGGGAGGGTCTCAGCTAGAGGGAGGCAGGGGGACTTGTCTGGGGTCAGTCCTCAAGGGATGTCTGTGAGTCTGTCCCTTCTGAGGAGAAGCTGCCCTCAGTGGGGTGAGGGAGCTGGCTCTGCCCGGGGGACTGCTGCCAGAAGGTGGTGGCAAGCAAAGGCTCGCGGGCAGGGTCAGGGAGCTCACGTGTGCCTTTGCCATCTTCAGCCTCTGCAGCTTGGCCAGCTTCCTGGGGTGGAGTACCTGCCTGGAAAGTTCTGTTCTGTTCCCCTCTGGGGGCCCCAGGAGGCCAATGGGACTTTGGCAAATGGTCCATGCCCAGTGAGTCTAATGGGGGAAGGTCCCACCTCGCCTTGGAAGTGACCTCTCCACTCAGACCCTGGCCCTTGGCTGCTGCCCCTCTTCGTTCTGGGCGCGCTGAGTGAGCAGTGGGAGGCTCTGGGCATGAGCAGTGGGTCAGTGCCTTCTCCAGGAGCATCCGGATCTCCTCATGCCTTAGCTGGGCCTCTTCCCACAGCTCCTGGCCCAGGCCCACCTGGCTCAGGGAAGCCACCTGCAACCCCACCGTCGCCAGCTTCTCAGCAGGGAACTCAGATGCCAGTCGCTGCAGGTAGCGGTGGAGGCGGCGCTGGTCCCCGGGACTGACCCTTGAGTCCTTGTCCAGCCTGAGCTGGGTCATGAGGTCCTGACAGTCCATGTGGAACCAGGTCATCTGGGGGGACAAGAAGAGAGGGAGGTGGGGGCTTAGGCTGGGAGTGGGACTGTGGGGGACTGAATTAATAAGTGCCCGATGTCAGGGTCCCACTCAGCTTGGCCATGATCTTCACTGACCACGATGACCTTGGTTTCCCTCTCTTCCTGGAGTGCACACACCTGCCATCTGGAAACAGCCCCCAAGCACCCTTAGGATCATCAGATACCTTCTTTTTTGTTTTTTGTTTTTCTTTTGAGATGGAGTCTCATGCCATCACCCAGGCTGGAGTGCAGTGGTGCAATCTCGGCTCACTGCAACCTCCACCTCCCAGGTTCAAGTAATTCTTCTGTCTCAGCCTCCTGAGTAGCTGGGACTACAGGTGTATGCAACCACACCTGGCTAATTTTTGTATTTTTAATAGAGATGGGGTTTCACCTTGTTGGTGAGGCTGGTCTCGAACTCCTGACCTCAGGTGATCTGCCTGCCTCAGCCTCCCAAAGTGCAGGGATTACAGGCTTGAGCCACCATGGCTGACCCATCAGACACCTTCTAATAGACCTATGCGACAGCAGGGACTTAGCTCTCTCTGGGGCTCAGTTTCTTCTTCTGTAAAATGGGAGTTGCACTAGATGATCATGAAAAGCCTCTTGAGAGGTGAAACTCCTATCTGTGGTGGTATTAACCCCTGCGAGTTTTGTGAGGGAGAAGTCTGGCTAATGTTTATCGAGCACAACCTGTTTGCCAGGTTCTGTGTGTCTCATGTAGGATCACACTGAACTGCAGTATCAGCCCGTTTCACAGAGAAGAAAACTGAGGCTCAGAGACATGAACTCACTTGCCCTAGATCACACAGCAAGTCAGGGAGGAGCTGGGATTCCATCTCAGATCTGTCCTCCAAGAGCCTCCACGGGCACAGGCAGGGGTGTGCCCTCACCGTCACACCATGAGACTGTGAGCCATGCCAGGCCCACAGGCCCCCTCACTGCAGGCGAGCCTCTGCCCCATTTTGTGATTCTGTCTGTCCCCGCTTCCCCCTACAAAATGTCTGCAGACTGCAAAGAAGCCAACACTTTCACAGCAGCTCGTGAAAAACATAATCTTTCTCTCCATTGATTTAGAACCCGACAGCGAGCTGTTAGGCTGTAGGGATTGGAGAACCATTTTCTCCGAAGAGACCATCTTTCCACGGATTAAAGGAACTTGTCTTTAGATAAATGGCTTCATATTCGTGCAAGCACACGGAGCTCATGGCTGGGAAAGAGCTCCATAAATCTCCGTTAGTGGCACCACTGTGTTATTATTATTTAGGACCCATGCTGCGGCTCACGCGTGCCCACCAGGGGCGGAGGCTGGTGCTGGGCTGTCCCATCGTCTGTCTGTTCAGGACTTGACCTTCCAGGCTAAGCTGGACAGTGATGGACAGCACCTCAGAAAGGCTCTTGCCCAACCCCTTATGGAACAGATTGAAATTCAGGGCCAGAGAGAAAACAGGGCCAGCCCAGATGAAACAGCAAGAGTTGGACTCAAAGCTGAGGTTCCACCTCCCCTGTATGACTTCCGGGCCCAGCACAGACACCACCTCTGCACGGGCCATCCCCAGACTTCCAACTCTCCTGACTCCCTGCAGAGCCTCCCTGAGCCCCTGTGGGCCAAGCCTGTGCCGGGCACAGCGGATAGAGCCAGGACCGACTTGGACCCAGTCTCTGCCTTGGGAGCTTGCCTCGCAGGCACCGTGCAAGAGACAGGCGCATGACGAGCACCAGGACAGCTTCAGATCAAAGTGAGCACCCAGAAGTGATGGAACGGGGTGACAACAGAGAACAGGAGCGCGCGGTCAGGAAGGGCCTCTGCAAGGGGGGATGTGTGAGCTGAGAGCGGAAGAAAGAAGAAACCAGCCGGTCAAGGGGAAGAGTGTTCCGGGCTGAGGGAACAGCACATGCAAAGGCCTCAGAGCTGGAGCATGTTTGGTTGATGCGGGAAGGCCACTGGGGCTGAAATTGGCTGAAATCAGTGGGCAAGGCAAAGAAGCTTCCAGATGTCTGGAACCCTGGAGGCACTCCTCCTCCTAATGATAATATTGATGTTAATAATAATTCTGAATTTGAACAAAGCCCTGTGCCAAGGGTTACTTCCATTGAAATCTCTCACTACCTGGCAAGGCTGGCAGTAGAGCCAGATGGTCTGGGTTTGCATCTCTGCCCACTCAGATAGCTGTGTGACCCTGTGTGAGTGATCTGACCTCTCTGTTTCCTTATGTGGAAATGGGCATAATAGTAGTACCTGCCTCATAGGATGGGGTGACAATAAAACGATATGTGAAATGGCTAGAACGGGGCCTGGCTCCTCATAGGAACTACACGGCCATTAACTGTGGTCTCAGCAAGGAGCTGAGGCCTAGAGCGGGGAACACTGCACCTGAGGTCACAGAGCTCACGCAAGGACACACAGCCCCAGACTCCAAGGCTCAGAATCTGCCTGTGTTGTGCTCTTAACTGTACACAGCTGGAACTGGGGGAGCCCTTTGCTGCCACCACCGACATCTACCTCGCTTGCCTGCTGTCCCAGGAAGACAGAGAGCACCCTGTCCTTCAGCGCCCCAGGCGTGAGGTGACCGAGGTCCCTCCTGCTGCTCTCGGAAGCAGCCTGTGATTGCTGTGGCCTGCATGCCAGGCTGGACTGACAGCTGGGAGGCTGGGGTCAGCTCTTTCTCATACTCTGTCCTTGGTGGCCAGGGGCAGCCGAGGGCACCGGGCCTGGGCCAGCCATGGGGGTCCCCGTCCCTGCTGGACCACACTCTCCCAGGCTGCTCCTTTGTCCCCATAGACCTCAGTTTTCCCATCAAAAAAATAAAGAGAGATTTGGCTACATGAATTTAGGATGGGCGGCAGCTCCTAAATCAAATCCTGCTTCACCACTGCCCTCTTTGGGCAGTTTTCTCATCTGTAAAATGGGAACAAGATTGGTGCCTGCCATCAAAGAGGTATGGTGAGAATGAAGTCCGCTCACAGGAGGGTCTGGCGTGATGAACATGCTCACGGATGTGCGCTGCCCCCACCACAACCCCTCATCAGCAATCCTGCTTGAAGAAGGGAATCTGCCATCATTCCCTCTCTCTTTGGGAAGCACGTAAGGCATGTCACAGGCACCATGGACACACCTACGTTCAAATCTCACCTCCTCCCCTTCCCAGTGATTTTCTTCTGTTAGAAGACTAGGGAATGAATTACGAAGAGCTTCAGACTGTGTCTAGGTATCCCTGTCCCCACCATACCCCCAGCCAGGGGATCGGGGTGTCTGTGCAGGTGGGCAGGGGGCTGTGTCTAGGTGTCCCTGTCCCCACCATACCCCCAGCCAGGGGATCAGGGTGTCTGTGCAGGGGCGCCATGGGGCTCACCCTCTTGTAGAAGCGGTGCAGGTAGAGCAGCGTCTCGAGGTCCGTGCGTTGCCGCTCAGCCGCCATATAGAAGTGGGTCAGCTTAGCCTGGAAGGCCCGCTGGGTGGAGGCAAAGGCTGCCAGCTCTGGGAGCTCTGCTCCTCCTGCCTCCCCGGCTCCTCCAGCTGTGGCTCCCAGCTGAGCCGCCTGCTTTGACAGCTCCAGGCCTCGGCGGTACTGGGCCTGAGAAGGGAGGGGACCGGGCGTGCACTCAGCTCCGGCCCTGGCTGGGGCCTCCCTCAGAGGTTGGCAACCTCCAGCGTCCCTGCTGCCGAGCCAGGAGACTTTCTGAGCTTCAGTTTCCTGATCTGTAAAAGGGGGACCCTAATAGCACCCGCCTCACGGGGCTTAGCTGCTGGTGAGGATTTAACAAGAGCAGTTATCGGCCAGGCACGGTGGCTCACACCTGTAATCCCAGCACTTTGGGAGGCCGAGGCTGGTGGATCACAAGGTCAGGAGTTCGAGACCAGCTAACCAACATGGTGAAACTCCATCTCTACTAAAAATACAAAAGTTAGTTGGGTGTGGTGGCAGGGGCCTATAATCCAGCTACTTGGGAAGCTGAGGCAGGAGAATTGCTTGAACCTGGGAGATAGAGGTTGCAGTGAGCAGAGATTGTACCACTGTCCTCCAGCCTTGGCGACAGAGCGAGATTCCATCTCAAAAAAAAAAAAAGAAAAAAAGAAAAAAAAAAAAGCAGTAATCATGCGTCTGGAAGTCTCCAGGCCCTCGCCATGGTAGTTCACTTTGCCTAGCCAGGCTCTGCTGAGACGTCCCTCTGAAAAACTTCTCTGACTCCAAAGGCTCCTGCTCTGAGTCCCTACGTTCTCCCTTTCACATTTGCCCTTTCTGTGCGTGTTTCCCTGTTTGTCCCCGCCCCTGCCCCTGCTCCCCACTGGCCTGGGAATTCCTGAGCACTGATACGGGGCTGAATCACTGTGGCCCAGAGCTTGTTACATCACATCATGTTGACGCAGCTTCCCTACCCCCCACTCCTGGCTCTGTGAGGCTGAGTTATTAGGTTTAGGGTAAGGCCCTGGAAACTGCATTTTAAGAAACCCTTTGGGGGACTGGGAATATTGTCCGGCTTGGCCATCTGGCAAGGATCCTAGAAGAAATAACATCTCAGCTGAACTCTGCGATATGAGCTGGTTCCCTCACTGTCTCTGCAACTTTTCCTGCTCTTCCCACCTCCACAGCTTGGCCCCGGCAGTGCCGCCCCCTCTAATGCCCTCTCCACATGCTGCAGTCCCGCTCCTCCATTGCCTGGCACGCACTGCAGCCTGGAGGAAGAAGTTCTCAAACTCTGCGTGGGCTTTCTCCACTGTCTTCAAACTTCCATCCTTGGGGGTCAGCGTTTGCAGGCACCTGCCTCCTTCCTGCTCCATCCAGTCGCTGACCTGGGGCAGGAGAGGCAGATCTGGACATGAGGGGCTGCTAGGAGACCTCCCTTGTCCAGCTCCCGACATCCTGGGAGGCCGAGGTCTTCTGTCCTCACACATTCAGTGGCTAGGCCTGTGACCACTGGCTTGGACCGAAACCCTCCCAATTCTGGGCATGGGAAGGAATGACCTGGGGAGGGGAATGTGTGGTCATGTTCTTCGCAGTGGGACCCAAGAGGGTATCTGGCCTGGCCAACGCCTGCATAGTGGCCCCTCAGTGCACACTGTTGTCTGAATGAAGTCACCGGGTGGTGAATATCAGGCTACTCTAACCAATCAGTGGTGCTAATCATAAAAGAGGTGGCCTCGGGGGTGAGGAGTCCCTGTTTGTGTGTGTGCGCACGCACGCCTGCAAACAGTGCCGGAGAAAAGGCTGCAGGCTGCAGAGGGCAGTTTATGGGACCACTGGGAACTCACCGTGTGAACCTGGCAAGCCACTCCTCCTTTCGGGGCCTCAGTTTACTCAGTGGTAAAATGGGGTAGACATGAAGACTCAGTGAAAGACAGAGGGTATAAAATGGCCCTCGACGCCCTGTGTGGAAGTTCTGTTCTTATCCTGGGGTATCTTAAAGAGCCCATTCACTCACGATCTTCACAGACCCAATGTAGCAGGTACTAACACTATCCCCATTCAGCAAATGAAGACACTGAGGCACTGAAGAGCGAAACATCTTGTCCAGGGAGGGCCACACCACGAGCAAGTGCTCAGCCAGGAATGGGCCAGGGCTGTCTGATACAGGGACACGCCGTGCCCCACGGCTCCCGGCAGAAAGGAGTGTATTGGTTCTTGGCACCGGCAGTCAGGTGAAGCCATGCCAGGTGCGGGTTCCAGAATCAGACCCCAGATATGCAACCACAGGCAGGTCTCCCAGCCTCAGTTTCCTCATCTGTGCAGTGGGTGAAATCCTAGCACCTTCCCCACATCACCAGTAAGAGATGAAGTTGGAAAGCAACGATGTTCACAACAGCTCTGGCCCAGGGCTTGGCAGGGAGTTGGTGCTCAATAAGTGCAGCTCTTGAAGTTAGGTCTTCACCCACTGAGCACTTATGGAGCACCATGTCATGTGGCATGCCCCAAGGATGCCTGCCTGGTGTCCTTTCTCCAGAGCAAAGTGTCTGGCTGGGGCTGGGCCTGGAGTCGGGGCTCTCCTGTGCAATGCGGCCAGGCAGAACCCCCATGCCCCAAGCCAGCCTCCCCTTTCACCTGGTGAATGGTGGCTTCCAGGTGGCCCAGGCGGATGCGGAGCTCCAGCTTCCCCAGGAGGCTGTTGGATGCGGTGACCAGAACGTGAAGCTGCTCGTCCACAAGGCTGTATAGGGCAGTGGCTGCAGCCAGACGGCTCCTGGGAGGCGGGTGGAGGTGAGAAAAGGCCCGTGCTGCCCTCTTCACCCCGCTGTACTCCCACCCCACACAAGCCTGCCCCCCCATCTCTGTGGCCCCAGCCTGGGTTTCCAGCTAACTTGCTGTGTGACCGTGGGCAGGTCCCTACACCTCTCTGGGCCTCAGCCTCGGCCCTCCATGGGACTAGGAGGACAAGAAGACACAGTAGGAAGTGAAATGACCCTCTCCCCTTCCCCAGGAGGGTATGAAGCTGGCCAGACAGATCTGGGTTCAAAGCCCAGCTCTGCTGCCTTCTGGTAGGAGGCTCTGCACAAATTTCTCAACCTTTCTGTGTCTCTGTTTTTTCTTTTGCGAGGTGGAGATAATCACAGAACCCACTTCATAGTATGGTTGTAAGGACTGAATAATTTAACGACCTGGCTCTCAACCCTAGCTGTACATTAGAATCTGCCCTGGAAGGTTTAACACATCTCAATGCCATGGGCCAGTGAAGTCGGACTCTGAGTTGAGCCAAGACACTGATGCTTTCTTTCCTTTTTTTATGTTTTTTCTTTTCTTTCTTTCTTTCTTTCCTTCTTTCTTTCTTTTTCTTCCGTCTCTCTCTCTTCCTCTCTTTCTCTGATGGAGTCTCACTCTGTTGCCCGGGTTGCAGTGCAGTGGCACAATCTCTGCTCACTGCAGTCTCAGCCTCCCGGATCCTAGCAACTCTCCTGCCTCAGCCTCCCGGGTAGCTGGGATTACAGGCACATGCCACCACACCTGGCTAATTTTTGTACTTTTAGCGGAGATGGGGTTTCACCATGTTGGCCAGGCTGGTCTTGAACTCCTGACCTCAAGTGGTCCACCTGCCTCGGCCTCCCAAAGCACTACAGGATTACAGGCGTGAACCACTGCGCCCGGCAGAGGCACTGATAGACCTCAGGTGGTTCCAGGGCAGCCAGGGCAGAGAACCAGCATTCCTGCATGCACAACACTTAACACAGCGCCCAGCGCACGATGTTTGTCAAGTCAGTGCTATTTCTATTGCCATGGTGGGAAGTTGCTGCAACACACCCACTGGCCCTGCCTCCATTTCACAGATGGGGAAAACTAACGTCAAGGGAGGGGAACCGACTCGCAGGTGGCGGTCTGAGTTGGAACCCCACCCACGGCTGTTTGTGCACATATTTTTAAAAAGTGCTCAGAGCCACAAGTTACTAAGGAAGAAGTGTGGATGGGATTTCAGGTATGGGGATACTTGCGTGAAGGGAGGAATCTCAAACCCTGCCCTGCCCTCCTCTGCTCTAGAGGCTCTGCCTTCAGAGGGAAAATGGAAGAGAAGATGGAAGAAAAGCTTGCCTTCCCGGAGGGCACCTCGCTCTGCCTCAGCCTCCCCACCTGACTGCAGCTCCCCACAGGTCGCCACCCTTCCAGGGAAGAGCTGTGGGCCCAGGGTGCATGAACGGGATAGAAAATCTCTGCACGCCTGGAGAGGGAGGGATGGAAACGCCCAGAGCAGCAGGGACCCGCCGCAGAAACACCCAGAGCAGCACGTGTGGGACCACAGTGCCCCCTGGTGGAGTTGCTGGCAGCCGCGGGTCTATGTGGTGTGGGGTGGACAGGAGGGGCCTGGGCCCGGCAGGTGAAGGTGGAACAGGATGAGAAAGACAGTGCGAGCCCCCACCAGGCACCGGGGGGCAGGGGGATGACCCCACACCCACTGCTGCTTGTGCGTCCATCTGTGTGAGCCTGCTCTCAAGTCTAGTGCAGCTCTGGGTGGTGTGTTCAAGATTCTGGGACCAGACCGCCTGGATTCAAGTCCGGGCCCCACCACATCCCAGCTGTGTGACCCTGGACTAGTCACTTACCCTCTCTGAGCCTCAGGTTCCTCCACTGCAAAATAAGGATAATACTTGCAGCTACTTTAGGAGTGAATTAAACGAGTTGGTATTTGTAAAGCCCTGAGAAAAATGCTGGACACATACAAAGGGTTATTTAGGTCTTGGTTCCATAAACAAAATGTTCTTAAAAGCTCACAAAGCCGGGTGCAATGGTTCGTGCCTGTAATCCCAGCACTTTGGGAGACCAAGGTGGGTGGATCACCTGAGGTCAGGAGTTTGAGACCAGCCTGGCCAATGTGGTGAAACCTTGTCTCTACAAAAAATACAAAAATTGGCTGGGTGTGGTGGCAGGCGCCTGTAATCCCAGCTACTAGAGAGGCTGAGGCAGGAGAATCGCTTGACCTGGGAGGCAGAGGTAGCAGCGAGCTGAGATCGTGCCACTGCACTCCAGCCTGGGAAATAGAGTAAGACTCCGCCTCAAAAAAAAAAAAAAAAAAAAAAAAGGCTCATGCGAACTTTGCCCTTGACTTTGAATATAAGTAGCTGTGTACTAAGAGGGAGAAAATATTTGCAATTGCTGACCAATTTAATGACTGACTTTTCCCTATCCCCAAAATTGAAGAAAGCTGGGACTTTCTAGGAATGTCTGTAATTCATTCTGGCTCTGAGACCCCTGAGATGCCATGAGGTTCTCAAAGGTGTGTTTGAGCACCCTACTGGGGAAGGCAGGGCCAGGCAGGGGTTAAATACTCAGATGACCTGGCTTCAAATCCCTGACTGCGTAGCTGCTATTTCCCTTGGCTGAGCCTCAGTTACCCATCAGACAAATGGACAATGTGGACCTCACAGAGTTCTTGCCAGAAATAAATGAGACGCCCTTGCAGGGCTTCAGCCTGGTGTTCGGGTCAGAGAAAGCACTTGGTCCAAAAGGGTGACCAGAAATGGGTAGGTGACATCAACCGATGCCCATCCCAGGCTCAAGATGGCTGGGGCTGAAGGAGGGGAAGCGGAGAAGGGACAAAGAAATTGCTGGGGCTCAGGGTGGGTTCCTCTGACCAGGCCTCAGCCTGGGATATAAGCCCTGCAGCTACTGCAAAACTGGGTACCCTTAGGGCTCAGCTATGTGTCCCCTAGATGGGGTGGCCCCAGCTCCAAGCTCCTGGGCCAGAAACAGGATGGGGTGGAGGAGGAAAGACCTGGATGTCTGTACCTGACATCAGGGCTGAAGTCCAGCCTGCTGGCATCACGCTGCAGCCTGGCCAGGGTGGCTCCACCTTCCCGCTGGAGGCCCAGTAGGCCCGGGTCCCTCAGCACAGCCTCCATCAGCTCCTTGGACTTGCTCAGGCACCTGGTGGCCTCCTGCCAGCATAGGGAGGTGCCCTGAGACCCCATCCCCACTCTCCCTCTGCAACCTTCCAAGGCTCCCCACACCCAGACCAAGTCCAACTCCCAGTTTGGCATTCAAGGTCCTCCAGAAAGTCTGTAGTTTCTATCTTAAAAACATCCCCTCTAGTCACGCCCCCTCTCATCACCATGGCAACCTCACTGGTCCACCCTCCAGCAAGCATCTCTTGCTGGGACGCCCATTCCAGCCTCTTCACTCATCTTCCTGCTGCCCTCCGACTCCCCCCACAGTCTGTTCTCCAGATGAACAGATCTCAAAGTGAAAATCTGGTGACTCCTGGTTTAAAACTCTCCAGTGACTTTCCTGCAGGCTTAGAATCTAATCCCAACCCAACTCTTCCTTGATCCAGCCCCTGCTGCATCTAGAAGCTCCCCCCGTGCTTCTCTGCCACTCATTCCGCTCCACACTGGGCTCCTTGCTACTCCTGAACACCCAGGTATAATCCCACCCCAGGGCCTTTGCATGCGTTTGCTCCCTGCCTGGAGCACAGGCCCCCACAAAGGCAGGCTCCTTCTCAAACTTCAAGCCTCAACTTAGAAGCCAGCTCTTCAGAGAGGCCTCCTCCTTCCCCATTATTCCCAGTCTTACTTCCACAGGACTTGACACAATTTGGAATGACATACCCATTTATTTGCTTTTTTTTTTTTTTTTTTTTTTTTTGAGACAGAGTCTCGCTCTATCACCCAGGCTGGAGTACAGTGTCACAATCCCAGCTCACTGCAACCTCCGTCTTCCGGGTTCAAGCAATTCTCAGCCTCCCAAGTAGCTGGGACTATAGACACCCACCACCACACCTGGCTAATTTTTGTATTTTTGTAGATTCGGGATTTCACCATATTGGTCATATTGGTCAGGCTGGTCTCGAACTCCTGACCTTAGGTGATCTGCCCATCTTGGCCTCCCAAAGTGCTGGGATTACAGGCGTGAGCCACCAAGCCGGGCCTTGTTTGCTTTTTAAACTACCACCTCTGCCACTGCACCAGGAACCTTGAGAGGGCAAAAGTCAGTTTGCCCCAGGCTGATCTCCGTGGTAGGGCACAAAGTGGGTGCCCCCCAAATATCAGTCAAGCGAATGATGAAAAACAGGGACAATAATGGCCTCCCCCTCGTCCCCAGGCTGTCCCCTTCTTGAAGCCCTTGGTCCACGGAGTCTGGGGTATGGTTTGCTTCCCTGCCCACTGTGCTCCAGGCTCACCTGCATCCCCCCAGGGGGGTCAGCCTTCTCGAATTCCTCTATGGAAGCTTGTAGCAGGGAAGAGGCCTGGTGGAGCTCGGCAAGGAAAGGGTCCAGCTTCTGCAGGATAGAGGACCAGAGTGGGGGTGTCAGCCCAGGGTGGGCCGGAGGATGGCTCTTCCACCCCAGGAGTGCACAGGGGAGGTGGGAGGCAGTGGTTCTCAAACTTTAGATGCATCAGAAGCATCTGGAGAGCTGGTTAAAACACAGACTTCTGGGCCAGGTACGGTGGCTCATGCCGGTAATCCCAGCAATTTGCGAGGCCAAGGCAGGTGGATCACCCGAGCTTAGGAGTTCTCAACCAGTCTGGGCAACACAGTGAAACCTCATCTCTATTAAAATACAAAAAAATTATCCAGGCATGGTGGCGTGCACCTGTAGTCTCAGGTACTCGGGAGGCTGAGGCAGGAGAATTGCTTGAACCCGGGAGGCGGAGGTTGCAGTGAGTTGAGATCGCGCCACTGCACTCCAGCCTGGGTGAAAGAGCAAGAGTCCATCTCAAAAGAAAAACAAACAAACAAACAAACAAAAAAACGGACTTTTGGGCCCTGCCTCTGAGTTTCTGCTTCTCCTCTGGGCCGGGGGGCGGGGCCTGGTAGAATGTGCATTTCTAACATGTTTCCAGGTGTTGCTGATGCTGACGGCCTGGGGGACCACAATTTGAGAACCACTGGTATTGAGTATGAGTGAGGGAAAAGAAAGGAGACAGGCCTGAGCAATTCCCAGGCCGGTGGGGATGCCATGGGGTAAGGGAAGGAAGGGGGCAGAGTTAGGGGAGCATTCTCAGCTGAGTCCCAATTCAGCCCAGCTCCTTCACTTACAAGCTGTGAGACCTTGGGCAAGTTACTTAACCTCTCTGTCTCTGCTTCCTGCTCTAAAATGGAGATCACAGTAGTTCCTGCCTTCTATGGTTGTGTGAGGATTAAGCCCAGTAATATATGCCAGGCACTTAGAACAGAGCCCAGCCCAGACTGCGTTTATTGCCATTCTCAGTTTTATGTAGTGGACCTATAGGTAAGATTTCATTTCAAGGAAAGGGTTTAAAGCTACAGTACAGTTCAAAAACCAGTGGATTCATTGGAGGTTTCTGGAAGGGGAAGCTAGGAGGCTGGGGGACAAGCAGAAAAGGAGATTGTCCAGTATGTATCTTTTTGTACCATTTGAAGTTTGAATGTACTTATTGCCTATTCAAAAACAGTTTTTAAAAGATACCCAGGCAAAAAGGAAATAAGCCACCGTGTTAGGCTGTTAGTCTACACCAGTGGTTCTCAACACAGGGCGGCTTTGCCCCCGAGGACATTCGGCAGTGTCAGGGGACATTTTTTGATTGTCATAATTTGTGGGGTGCAAAGAATGAGTAGAGCGGGGGATGGGGCCAAGCATGCCGCACTGTTTGTATTTTTAGATATGGGGTTTTGCCATGTTGGCCCGGCCGGTCTCAACAAAACAGAATTGCTCAGCCCCAAACGTGAACAGGTTAAGGTTGAGGAGCCCTGGTTTAGAGAGAACCCTGGGGGGGCATTAATGGGCATGGGTTTCGGTGTGGTTTGAGCCTACTTTGTTTATGTTTTTGGTTTTTTTTTTTTTTTGTGAGATGAAATCTTGCTCTGTGGCCCAGGCTGCAGTGCAGTGGTGCGATCATGGCTCACTGCGATCTCCACCTCCCAGGTTCAAGCAATTCTCATCCCTCAGCCTCCTGAGTAGCTGGGACTACAGGCATGTACCACCACGCCTGGCTAATTTTTTCTTTTTTGTATTTTTAGTAAATATGTGGTTTTACCATGTTGGCCAGGCTGGTCTCAAACTCTTGACCTCATGTGATCCACCCACCTCTGTCTCCCAAAGTGCTGGGATTACAGATGTGAGCCACAGTACCCAGCCCTCTATATTTATTTTCAGTTAATATAGATATACCTCTCATGTGCCAGACACTCCTCTAAACTCTTTACCCATATTAACTAAATTAATCCTCATAAAAACCTCATAAGGAGGTACTATTATTACCCCCTATTTAACTGATGAGGAAACGAAGGTGCAGAGAAGGTAAGTAACTTATCCACGATCACACAGCACGGCTGGGATTGTAACGCAGGCAGCCCGGCCTCAGAGCCTGACCTCTTAATCATTCTACTCTGTACCTCCATTGTAAACATTTGTTGAGTGACTATTTTTTAGTGCAGTAGAGTTGATGGATCCATGGGACAGAAGACTGAAGAGAGGAAGAGAAGGAGAGGGGCCGAGGCTAAAGGCCGTGATGGCAAACACCTGGAAGAACTGCACCCACTCGCTGTGGCAATAGGGGAAAGGGCCTCCCAGGGCTTCGGGCAGCTGGCTGGGGTCCACGTGGTGGCTGAGGGCCTTTAATGAGGTCAGCACCTCCACCTGCAGACCAAAGAATCAGGAGAACCAGGGACTCAGTGTGAGGACAGTCATTTTAGAAGGTCCTGCCCAGATCCCCACCCCAGCACTAGTTCATCTCCCACAAGCAAGGTTGACTCCAGCTTTAAAAGCTGCTTTGTGGGCAACCCATCTTCTCTGGAAACTCAAACAAATCAAAATTCGGAACCAGAGCCTGGTTAAGGAATGGCAAATAAACAGCACTCATACTGCCTTCTCAACTAGCCTGTGCCCAAGGCAGACATCATTAATCAATCACAGCACTTGTTCCCTCTGAGCTTGGCTCTTTCCCAGCACAACTCTCCAGGCAATCACACAAACTGATTGAAGTTGGCCCTTACGATGAAACTTCTTTGTAATCCTTGCACAGTTCCCTGATGAGCCACCAAGAGCTGCTTCCTTCTTGGGGCTGGTGAGAAAAGTCACTAAATCCCAACAGTGTCCCCTAAGACATGGAAGAAAAACTAGGTGACTGCTTCTCCCAGGCAGGGAAATTTGGGTTTATGCTGGGAATAGCTCCAGATACCTAGGCTTGGGATTTGGCGGATTCTGTGGGTTTTTTTGGACCCGCCTGATATTCTTGCTACTCAAAGTGCAGTCCTAGGACATGCTGGAAATTCAGAGTCCCAGGGCCCATCCAGAATTACTCAATCAAAATCTGCACAGTGACGTACATCCCCAAGAGATCAGTAAGCACACTGAAGTTGGAAAAGCACATCTCCAGCCTACAATGTGCCTCTTCACTAACCATGAGGAAGGAGACTTAAAATCACATCCCAAAGCGGGATGGAGTACTGACTGCCCATACTCATTACTGTGGTGTGTGGCACTAATTAAAGGGAGCTGCAGGCTCGTTCCTGCAAAGTCCCACTTCAGCTCCACATCTGTATTAATTAGGGTGAGAAATACAGGAAGAGCAGGTCTGACCGCAGTGTGCAAAAGGCACCGGAGTCAGGAGACTCCAGCCCTGCGGCTAGTTTGCTTTGTGGCCTTAGGCTTCAGTTTCCCCCTCTGAAAAGAAAGGGAGGAGGGATGGACCAGATGAAGTTTTTCAAATAGTTTTCATCCATGTGCAACTCTCGATCATGTGGTGGCACCCGCCAGGGGTTGCTAGGACTGCCAGAGAGAGGTCATTCTGTGACTGATTTCACAATGCCTGCTATGGAGCGATACTGGGGAGTGGTAGCACTCACCCCTCATATTTATTGCCCTACGCTAGATTATTCCAAGGCCTCTTCTATCTCATGAATTCTGCAGCTCTTCCTCTCCTTAACCCCAGCTCCCCTCGAGCCCAACAACTCCCCTCCTCAACCGCCCACCCTGCGTCCCCCTCACCTGGATGTCAAGCAATGTCTGCAGCTGGAGAGCCACCTCCTTCTCCCCCAGGAAGAGAACAGCTCGGATGGAGGCTGGGACCTGAGCCTGTCAAAGAGAACCACTGCAGAGCTGCTTCTCCCAAACCTTCAGGGAGCCTCACACACTGATTTCCTCCTCCATCCCCTGTAAGATGCAGGCAGATGAGCCCTAAGGACAGGGTGGGGTCCCCCCATGACTGGGATCTTTGTGTGTTATGTTTGGATCAGGAATCGTTGGATGGATGTCATGAGGGCAAAAGGTTCAAGCTGTGTTGCAAACCTTTCTAGATGACCCGCCCCTCCGGGCCTCTTTTTGTCCATCTACAAATCGAAGGAGGTCCAACCATAAGGTAAACAGATGCAGGACCTCCATGGACTCTGCTGCCCACCATGGCTGGAGAGGAATCTCTTCTCTCCTCCCTTCTCAGCTCATGAGGTTTATGTGATCGAAGTCTGAGCCAGTCAGTGTGTTGCATTCACCCCCAGGCCACACGGTTGGGTGTGCAGGGACTCCTAAACCAAACGTAACTGAGACACAAAGACACTTTTGCTGACATCTCTGGGAAAATAATCTCTCACTTTTTCCTAATGGATTTAAAGGAGAGACCAGGTGAAGTCAGAGCTGCTGGGAGCCTTTCTGCCACCAAGGGGCATAGGGTGGTTATGTGAGAATGGCATTCTCCCAAGAGAATGGGGCCAGAAATGGAGAGAGAGAAACCAGGTTCTAGTGACAATATCTGAGATCCTGGATCAAGCCATACTTGAAGCTGGACTTGGCTCCTGGACTGTCCAGTGACATGAACCAATGAGCTCCAAGCTTGTCAGGGCTGAGTTTTCTGTTGGCTGCGGTAAAAGTCCCTGCCTGAGAGTCCTGGTCCCAGCCCTAAGCACCCCCAGGCACTGTGAATGTCAGGAGGCGCCTGGTGGCTCCCAGGACTTACTAGGCTAAGGCTCTCCACCTCCCACTCACCTGAGTGGCCTGCAGGGCACTGACCAGACCAGGCTGTGGGGGCTGTTTCCTGGCATCAATCAGGACCACCAGCCCCTTGGCTTTATCTTCAGGCCTGTGGGTGGTAAACAGAATAGGCAGTCTTGCTGGATGGCCTAGTGGAAAGTGAGAGAATCTGGCTGCTAGAAGCTTTGATTTATTGGTAAACTCTTCATTCTACAAGAACAAGTTCCAATGCCCCTTCCAGGAAGCCCTCCATGGTTCTTCTCCAGGCAAAGCCCTTTGCCTTCTCTTTGGTGCTCCTGCAATACCTCAGGCAGCCCTAGTTTATAGCCCTGCTATTCCTAATTCTAGCAACTAACCCAGGTACAATGGGTGAGTCACTTGGGACTCACACACTCTTTTTGTGTAGGCAGAATCCTTATTTTGTTCATGAATACAACTCCCTTCAAAAAGCCATGTTCCCCCAGGGCCTGGCTTCTGATTGGTTGAGGCAACAGTAGTGACCCAATTCCTCTGGCCAGTGATTGGTTTAGATGGGGGAGGGTCATGTGACATTTCTGGCCAATGAGATGTGAGGAGAAGTTTTCTGTGGAAAGGGGCTTCTGGGAAAGACATTCTGTCCTTTAAAAAGTTCTTACAAAGAGTTATGAGGCAGAGACATAGAATGATACATTTCCTTAACAGACAAAACATTTTGACGGGAGTATCTGTTGATTGCAGCCAAAACGCCCTTGCAGGTTCAGTCAAATTGCAATGAGCTTACAGTGGGCCACTTTTCAGTGACTATCTTAGGATTTTCCAAACTCTCCCAATTGTCAAGACTTGTTAAAATACTGATTACTCACCTCACTGCTCCCCTATCCCCACCCCTGTAGCCATCTGGACAGTGGGTACAGGGTAGGCCAGGGAATCTGTGTGGTTCCAAGCACTCTCTGCCAGTCTGATGATCAGGCAGGACTGAAAAATAGCCCCCAACTGCCGTCAAGCCTTATAACCCAGTCAGTGCACAGATAACACTCGAGGTGGCCCAGTGGGAGGATGGAGCTGTGGTGCTGCCATCATTACCTTGTGGGCTGGGCAAGCTGTTTCATCCCCCTGAGTCAATTTAATCATGATAGTACCAGCCTTATGGGCTGTGGTGAGGACTGATGAATTCATTCGTGTAAAGCACTCAGTGGCTGCACAGAGTAAATGGGATGTGAATATTAGCTATGATTATCCTAGAAGGGGAAACGGAGGCACAGAAAGGCCCAGTGGCAGACAGCGAGAGGAGACTCTGGGAGGTGATTTTAACACTCTGACTTTATGTCCTCGCCTCCCTCTGGTGATGCCCATGCTGGACAGTGATTTTTTCCAGACCTGTCTCTGCCACCAACCTGGAGGCCCGTAGAAGCCAGGGCCCTATGTGAGGAGCCTCTGTCCCTAGCACCATGTGGCATGAAGCCAGGCCCAGAGCAGGGGCCCAGCCAATGTTCACTCAGAGCACAAGTGGAGAAAACCAGCCCAGCACACAAGCACCTAGTACGCACTGCACGCCACAGTTTACACCCTCACGCCCCCGCATCCCTGCCACTTGTGCCCAGTTTGGTCCTTAGAGCCCTCTTGGTCGTGCCCTTTATTCAGGCAAGCTTTAGGGCAGGGGCATTATTTTCCCATGGTTGCATAGCAAGTTGGTGGGATCCCAGAGCTCTGTTTACCATACTAGTCACTTTTTTTGTTTGAGACAGAGTCTCGCTCTGTCACCCAGACTGGAGTGCAGTGACGTGATCTCAGCTCACCGCAACCTCCACCTCCTAGGTTCAAGCAGTTCTCCTGCCTCAGCCTCCTGATTAGCTGGGATCACAGACACGCACCACCACGCCCGACTAATTTTTGTATTTTTAGTAGAGACGGGGTTTCACCATCTTGGCCAGGCTGGTCTTGAACTCTGACCTTGTGATCCACCTGCTTTGGCCTCCCAAAGTGCTGGGATTACAGGCATGAGCCACCGCGCCTGGCTGCTGGTCACTTTATAGCACAGAAAAGGGGGTCCCATCTCCCACTCAGTCCAGAAAAGCATTCCACCTTGGACAAGAAAAAAAATTGTCACTGGCCAGCAGGTGGCAGTGATGGCTCCAGTGGGATGGGATGCATGAAGAAGGTTCCAGAGGGTTCCATCACCTTCCACCACTTACCCTCAGAAGCAGACCTTTAGGTTGGGTTGGGGATTATTAGCTAGTCCTGAGCAGCATCCGCTCTAAGACTGCCCTGGTTGGAGGCTGAGTCCCAGAGGAAAAGAGGGTGCTTCTTTCCCAGCCAATCTATTACGTCTGAATGGTGGTGGGGGTAGGTGTATTAGGAGGAGCGTGAGAAATCAGCCTGAGTCCACTCATCATTCACTCATTTACTCACCCACTCATTCTTTCACCCTCTCATTTATTCATTTACTCATTCACCCTTTCCTTTGTTTATTCAAATATTTATAATTCAGTTGACAGCTCAATTATCACTTCCTCAGGGAAGCCTTCCCTGATTTTCCAATTGAAATTAACATCCCCTATTATTCTCACTCTACAACAGTGGTTCTCAAAAGTGTGGTCCCAGGCCCAGCACTGCTATCCTGGTGATAACAGTATCACCAGGAAATTTGTTAGAAATGCAGATTTTCAGGCCCCACCCACCCCTCATCTACTGAATCAGAAAATCTGGGGGATGGGCCCCTGCAATCTGTTTTAACAGTCTACTGGGTGATTCTAATGCACGCTCAGATTTGAAAACCTGCTGGGCGTGGTGGCTCATGCCTGTAATCCCAGCACTTTGGGAGGTAGAGGTGGGCAGATCACCTGAGGTCAGGAGTTTGAGGCCAGCTTGACCAACAGGGAGAAACCCCATCTCTACTACAAATACAAAATTAGCTAGGCGTGGTGGCGCATGCCTATAATCCCAGTTATTTGGGAGGCTGAGGCAGAAGTATCACTTGAACTCAGGAGGCAGAGGTTGCAGTGAGCTGAGATTGTGCCATTGCGCTCCAGCCTGAGCAACAAGAGCGAAACTCTGTCTCAAAAAAAAAAAAAAAAATTGAAAACCACTGATCTATAGACATCCCTCTTGTCTTCATCACACTGTGCTCCTGAAAGTTTCTTGGCCATGGCTTGTTTCTTGCACCCTGTCCGCCTCTCCCACCAGCCTGGCAACCGCCCGACGGCAGGGACTGAGCCTGTCTTGTTTCTCCAGCGTCTGTCTGAGGACGGGCTCTGTGAACAGAGACTGGATGGAAGGACATGGACTCTCCACTCCACTCAGTGCCTAATCCAGGGCTCTGGGCCCAGAGGGCTAAGGTGGGGATGGAGCCATCGGGGTGGCCCAGACGCTTACCTGGGGATGGCGCACAGGTAGGAGAGTAGCTTGGTGACCTCTGAAGCTGTGCACCATGGCGCCTCCCAGTCTCCCTCTGTAGTTGACACCAGAAGCAGGGGCCGCCCGGCCCTGTCCCGGCCACCTGGAGGAGAGAGGGTGCACGTGGGCAGTGAAAACTTTGGTGGGGCCCTCTAGGGAACCTCTCCTGTGGCCTTCAGACCTTTGCCCATAATGGCTCCTTTGCCCGGAACACCCTATCTCCTTTTCCTTCTGTGAACTCCGAACTTCTACTCATCCTTCGAGACCCAGCTCAAACGCCGCTTCCTGAGGAAAGTCTTCCCGGAATGTCTTCTGTGCAGAGTACTCTCTCGGTATAGGGTACCCGGGCAGGCAAAGCTCCTGGCACGAGCTCTGGGGTCACACAGAAAGGGGTCAGGTCTCCACTCTGCACTGACTCACTGTGTGTCTGTGGGCAAGTGGGTGCACCTCTGAGCTTAACAGATGGGGATCTGTTAAGGGGGGGGAATAATCCGCTGAGCTTATTAGGTTATTTCGAGGATGGAATCAGTGCCTGAGCTGCACTTCACACACAGCAAGAGCTCAAGTCGGTGGGATCCCAGACTGAGCTGCTCAATCACTGGTTGTCACAGTGATCACTGTCTCTGTTCTCGTCTCCAGTCCACGGGGTGGTGAGTGTCCCGTGGCCACCAGCTCACTATTTCTTCTTGCAGACTTTCAACCCTGCGTTCCCGACAGGCTATTTCCTGTTCCAGAAATCTGGGCCTGTGCCTCACTCTCCCCACAGGGGTCATGAGGCTGAGGCACCAGGGGCCAGCACAGCCCATCCTCACGGGGGTGGCGGAGAGGGGAGGGCGGGGAAGGACAGCAGCGGGGGAAGAGGCCCAGGCCTTGGGAAACCACGCCCGTCCCGCAGCCTGGACTCAGAGCCCTGCACTTCAGCCACCTCACTCCGGGCTGCCCTGCAATGACCACCAGCCGCTCCACGTGGGCACCACCCTCTACAGTGTGCAGAACCCTTCACGGTTCATGAGGCCTTGGACAAACCTGACCACCTTCACGAGTGCTGCCTCACAGGGGTCCAACCACCTGGAACATTCTTTCACATATGTCTTAGAATCTGACATAATATTTAAAATTAAAAATATATATATTTGTGGGTATATAAATATATATATGTATATATCAATGTTATATCCTGTTAATATTATGGATTTGATCGGTTTCCCAATCCCACTGACAAATTTCAAAAGGCATTTTGTTGGGGTTGAGAGGAGAGACTTGAATAGGAACTGGAAATCGATTAGTCTGAGGTCATTCTTTTTAATTTTGTTAGGGGGCCGGGGGCAGTGTCTCATGCCTGTAATCCCAGTACTTTGGGAGAACAAGGCAGGAGGATGGCTTGAGCTCAGGAGCTCGAGACCAGCCTGGGCAACATAGCAAGACCTTGTCTTTACTAAAAATAAAAAAATAATTAGCCAGAAGTGGTGATGTGTGCCTGTAGTCCCAGCTGCTCAGGAGGCTGAGGCGAGGTGAGATAATCGCTTGAGCCGGGGAGGTTCAGGCTGCAAGAGCCATAATTGTGCCGCTGCACTCCAGCCTGGGTGACAGAGTGAGACCTTGTCTCAAAAAAAAAAATTTTTTTTTAATCAAGTGCACTAATAGTACTGTGATTATCAGGGAACACATGAAGTGTTTAGGGGATAGAATATGAAGATTTATAGTATTTTCATAAATACTTCAGAAAAAATAGATGAAGATGACAAAATGTTAAGATTTATTAAATCTAGGCAATGGGTACATGGGTATTCATGATACTATTCTGTCTACTTTTCCATAGGTTGAAATTTTTCATAATATAAAAGTCAAAAAGAGGCCGGGTGTGGTGGCTCATGCCTGTAATCTCAGCAGTTTGGGAGGCTGAGGCCAGTGGATCACCTGAGGTTGGGAGTTCAAGACCAGCCTGGCCAAGATGGTGAAACCTCATCTCTACTAAAAATACAAAAATTAGACGGGCCTGGTGTCGCATGCCTGTAATCCCAGCTACTGGGGGGCTGAGGCAGGAGGATTGCTTGAGCCTGGGAGGCAGAAGTTGCAATGAGCCAAGATTGTGCCACTACAGTCCAGCTTGGGTGACAGAGCAAGACTGTCTAAAAACAAAACCAAAAAAAAAAGGTGAAGTCATTAAACCATGAGAAAATTGCACAACTTGTGAAGGTAGAGATGGTGAAGGTCTCTCCAAAATCCTATCGCAGCTGTTGGGTCCCTTGGGTCAGGAAATGCTGCATCATGCACCTGGGCCCATTTTGCTGATGAGGAAACTGGGGTGGGGAAGCAGCTTCCCAGTCCCCCATGGGCCCAGGTCCCCAAAGTCTCCACAAGGGTAGAGACCATGTCTGATTCACCCCCTGAATCAGGAGTGATGGTGAACCTTTGTCTGCTGTAAACCTGAGGCCTGGAGCTCAACTGCAGTTCTGACGGTGCTACACTCCCTTGCTCTATAACCTTCTATGGCTCCTTAAGGCCTTGAGGAGAAACTGCAAGCCTTTGGATCTGGCACTGAAGTGTCCTGGGCTCTGCACACTCTTCCACCCTCATTTCATAAACTAGGTGTTGGGGCGGAGCTGTGTCCCATCCCCCTCCAAATTTATACGTGGAGGTCTTAACCCCCAGTACATCAGCATGTGGAAATAGGGTGTTTAAATAGGTAATTCAGTTAAAATAAGATTACTGGGGGCCCTACTAGAATATGACCAGTGTCCTTAGAAGAAGACATTTGGACACAGAGGGAAGACCCCATGAAGACACAGGGAGAAGATGGGCATTTGCAAGCCAAGGAAAGAGGACAGAAGGAACAAACCCTACCAACGCCTTGATCTTGGACTTCCAGCCTCCAGACCTATGAGGTAACTAATCTCCATTGCTTAAGCCACCCATGTTCTGGCAGTCCTGGGAAACTAATATACTACGTCTCCCCTTGCCACCAACAACAGATGACAACACCCAGCTTTGTTCACCCTATTCCTTTTGCCAGGTATGCCCTACTGTCCTATCTCCATCTGGTGAAATCCCCTCATCTTTCAAAGACTAGCCAAGATGCCACCTCCTCCAGGAAGACCTCCTTACTGCCTTCCCTCTTTAGAAGCCTTTCCCCAACCCCAGGTTCCCAAAGCAAATGTAGGCCTCGGTGAGATCCTGCAAGTCTGAGAGCCTCTTATGGGTGTGCACTGGCTCAAACTCATTGCTCTATCCCCATGCTCAGTGCAAGGCTGGGTAATCAATGTCTGATGGATGCATGAAGGAACGGAGGGTTGGAGCAACACCTCTCAAACTTCATTGGCCTAGGGATCTTGCTGGAATGCAAATGCTGGTTCAGCAGGCCTGAGATCCTGCCTCTCCCTGGCTCCAAAGTCAGTCTGATGTAGGCGGTCCCCAGACCACACTGTGAGCAGCAAAGGGCTCACACACTCAGGACATTCCATACCGGGACACGATGGTCATGCGATTATGTGTCTGGTTCACATGTCTGGTTCCCCACGCTGCCTGGAACAGGGCCCTGCACACACCCAGTGCCAGCTGTGGTGTGATTACAGCAAGGGGCAGTTATCCACCTGATTTGTCTTCAGCTGGGCCAAGGGGACCCCTTTGCCCCAAACATCATCCCTCACCTAATGGCTGGCGCTGAAATACCATCATTGGCATCTCAGAATCTTGGCTTGAAGCTGTGCCGTTCACAGATATCATGAGCCTCAGGTGAAAATAAGGGTGGGAAGTTGGGTGGTGGGTAAGTCGGGGTTACCAAAAGTTGCTGAAAAATGTGTTGCGCCTGTCAGCAGCGTGAGTCACTCCAAGTCTGGGGAGGGAGGAATGGTAAATAACTGAATTTGCAAGCAACTAAAAGCATTTTTCATATTGAAACAAATGTGAATGTATTCTAGTTATGGATATTTAAAATGCATAGAAATTTTAAAGACAAAAAGGATTTCAAAGATCTCTGTGGAGCAACTGAGCACTCAGGGTGAGCTCTCAATCCCAGGGGCTCTGTTCATTCACTTCCGCATTAGAGATTTTCCAGTGAAAAGACAGAGAAGCTTTCTCCTAAGGCTTCGTGCCTGTGGCCGCTAATGCCCAGAACCTTGATTATGTTTCCTTACATGGCAAAAAAGACATTGCAGATGTGATGAAGGGCAGGACCTTGAGGTGGCGAGATTAGCTTGGATCTTTCGATCTAATCATAGGAATCCTTAAAAGCAGAGAACTTTTCCTGGCTTTGGTAGGAGCAAGGTGCCAAGATAAATGGAGGGTGAGGGAGATGCAACATTGCTGGCTTTGAGGCTGGAGGAAGGGGCCACAAGCCAAGGAAAGTAGTGGTCTCTAGAAGCTGGAAAAGGCAAATAATTAAGCCCTGCAGACACTTGAATTCAGCCCAGCGAGATCCATGTTGGGCTTCTAAGGTACAGAGCTATTAGAGAATACATTTGTGTTGTTTCACGTCACTAAGTTTGCAATAACTTGTTATGGCCACAATGGGAAACAAATACAGTGTCTATTAAACAAGCCCTATCCCTAGCATGGGAACAGACATTCACACCTGCGTGTTGATCAGCTTCTTTCCTGAGAACAGATCTTCATGGGAATTTTATGGAGAACAGGGCTGGCCTGGGGCAGATCTTGATCTTGGAGCACAGACTCTGGGGACTGTTTGTGCTACAAGGAAACTCCAGCAGAGGCTGGGGTGGATGCAGAGACACCGACAAGGAGATCACTGCAGCAGGCAAGAGACCACATTGGTTTGGACTTGGGTAGGGTGAAGCCAACAGATTCTGAATACAGTTGACAGTTAACAAATTGAGGATGAAGTCGTCATCTTTGACTGCCATGTGGAAAGGTGGGAAGGTTGGGAAGAGTGAGGTGTGGGGATGTGAAATCAGGAGCCCATATTTGGACATGCTAAGTTAGAGACGCCTCTGAGGCCTCCACACAGAGACATCGAGTAGTAAACAGCTGGATGGATAAGACTGGAGTTCATGGCCAGGGCCCCGGCTGGAAAAATCAGTGTGGGGGTTGTCAGTATGCAGAGAGCATTCACAGCAAATATTCCACCTCCTGAACAAGATCTCTTAGGAAGTGAGTGTAGATGGAGAGGAGAAGGGGACCAAGGACTGGGCTTTGGGGGCCCTTCAGGATTTACAGGTCTTGGAGATGAGAAGACAGGAAAGGAGGCTGCAAAAGTGTGGCCAGTGAGGTGGGGGGAAGATCAAATGGCAAGTGAAGGAAGACTTTCAAGAGGAGGAAGTGGCTGTCGTGCTAAATGCCGCAAAAGTGTCAAGGGTGATGGGGACTGAGAATTGACCCCTGGGTCTAGAAACATGGAAGCCACTGACGACCTTGACAAGACCCTATCTCAGTGGTGAGTGGGGAAGGGATTCTGATTAGAGTGAGTGGAATAGAGAAGGTGTGGAGACAGGGGACACAGACAGCTCCTCCGTGATGTAAAAGGGCGAGGGCGGTAACATGGGGGCTTAGAATGGCTCATGTCAAGCTGGGCAATATTGCAGCATGTTCTCATGCTGATGGAAATGGCCCAGAGCCAAAGACCCCCAGGAGGTCAGTGGTCAGGAATCGAACACAATTAGCTTGCACAATTGTGTGAACTTTTCCAGTTTTGTTCAGCTCGAGGGTACGCGTGGAAAGTTGAACCTCATGGAGGTTGGGATTTCTCCATGTAAGCGTGAAGATCGAAGAGAAAAGCAAGTGAGTGAGAGTGTTTGAAAGGAAGTGATTACAATGGTGACTCTGGACTCTAAGCTACAAGAAAGGGATGTGAGGATGTGACAGAGGGTGGAGGAGACATGATGGGGAAGGGATGTGATGGAGGGTGGGGAAACATGATGATGGGGAAGGGATGTGGTGGAGGGTTGGAAGACATGATGATGGGAAGGGATGTGGTGGAGGGTGGGGAGACATGATGATGGGAAGGGATGTGGTGGAGGGTGGGGAGACATGATGATGGGAAGGGATGTGGTGGAGGGTGGGAGACATGATGATGGGAAAGCGGAGTCAAAAGCGGTTGAGCCAATAGGTTCAAGGTCTTGGGAGTCCTAAAGATGATTAAACTTGGGGCCGTGGGTGAGCTGGAAAGAGAAGTGTAATGAAGGAGTGGGAGCCTTAACATGAAAACCAGGCAGGGAGCAGTGGGTTATGGAGGATGTCACGGGAGTAATGTGGCAAATGAGGACAAGATCATTAGAGAAGAGGACAAAAAACGGAGCAGAAGGAGCATGCGTGCGGACATTGCTCATTCAGCAGCAAGTGCTTTCTGCACATGTACTAACATGTACTGCGTATCAGGCATGTGGGGGTTAACAGAGCATGTTGCAACCCCCAAGAATTACAAGAGTAACTGCGGAAAGAGTGACAGTCAACCAGGTCCTATCTCCCTGTTCTCCTCCTCTTGAGGAGGTCCAGAGAGGGCAAGTGACTTATCCAAGGGCACACAGGGAAGTGATGAGAGAGTTAGAACTAAAATGAAGGTCTCCTTCCTCCCACAGCAGAGTCTTCCATGGACAAAATCTAAGCCCTTGGCACATGGCGGCCTTAAGAGGATCGTGAGATCCTTTGTGTACAATTAATGTGGGGACAAACAGCAGGAGCTTCAGCAAAGATGACCAGGAAAAAGACAGATAAGGTCCCCCAGGAGCTGCAAAAAGACAGGGCAGTGCCCAAAGTCCTGCAAAGAGGTAGAAGTCTGTGAAATAAAATGGTATTTCAGGACAGTCAGTCTCCTGAAAGCACTGGTTCTCTTGCCTCCAGATCTTTGCATATGCTGTTCCCTCCATCTGGAACACTGTTCCCAGCCCTTTGCCTGGATAATTCCTATTCATATTATAGGACTGGACTTTCCGTTACTTCCTCCAGGAAGTCTTCCTTGACCTCTCCTACCACAAGCTTGGGCCAGAGGACTCATGCGTGCTCCCACAGATCCCTGTCCTTCCCCACGGACACATTTTGTTTACACTGCGTTGCAATAATCTGTTGACTATTCCCTACCAATAGAATACAGGCTTCCTGAGAGCAGAAAACACATCCGACTCGTTCCCTTATGAATCCCCAGTGCTAAACCCAGGACCCAGTAAATATCTGTTACAACAATGAGGAAATATTAAACAGGAGTGATAAGACCTTCTGCATTGGATGCTACTACCCCAAACCCAGATCCTCGGCAGTCAGAGAACCCATCCCAGAGTCTGGAAGCATCAGCTGTCAATGGCTCACAGATGCCCCCTCTCTGAAGAAGCGCCCTGGGCTGAACTGGACCACTGGCTCCCCCGTCCCACCCATTCCAGGGTCAGCTCACAGTTCCTGCAGTTCATTAATGACGGACAGACCCGGGATCAGCCCACAGTTAGTGACTGACAGACAAGGCTTACAAAAGGCCAGTCCCCTGCGCCTTGAGCTAGAGCCAACTCTGTGGGGCGGGTCATGCCCCAGCGCTCTCCTGTGGGTCAGCCCACAGCCTTGCTTGGCTTCTTCCCTATCCTGAACCTCTCTCCTCCTTAGAGCCCCCTCCAATAAGTCACTTTTCCAAAAACCTCTGTCTCAGGCTCTGCTTCTGGGGACCCCAATATCCACTTTGGCTGCCTCAGTGATGGATGGACAAGTAGACGAATGGACAGACAGATAGATGTGTGGACGGACACCAACAAATTGCTTTCATCTATTCCAGCTGTCCCATGGGAAAGATGAGGAAACTGAGGCCCAGGGAGGCTTGGCTAGAACCTGGGCCTCCAGAGCTTTCCCTGCCTCCCTCCACCCACCAGCAGCTGAGGATGCTCTGGGGCCCCGGCTCCCTCCCCACCACCTTCTGTTTTAATCCCCTGGAACCTGGCAGGCATGCTATCCTGGAGCGGAAAACCTTGACACCCAGAGCCCCAATCCTGGGCTCAGGCCCTGGGGGCTCCTCCTCCAGGGTGGGGCCTCTTTCTGGGGAGCCTGCAGGAGCTTCTGGGAAAGCAGCCTTTTCCTCCGTCGGTGGGTGGGAGGCAGTGGCTGGGCCAGATGTTTTGGTCTGAGTTGTTCCGGCTGGGAAAAAGCAACAACAAGGAAAAGGATGTCAAGCAGAAGACCGGCTTTCTGGGCGAAATGTCTTCTCTTCTTCGGCTTACAGACGCTTACAACTAGAGATCTCTCCCCTGGGCCAGGCATTGCACCAAGCCCCCACTTCTAGCGTTACCCCTCCCCACACCTCACTTTTTTTCTTTAGAGACAGGGTCTCACTCTGTTGCCCAGGCTGGAATGCAGTGGCACGAACAGAGCTCACTGCAGCTTTGAATGCCTGGACTCAAAAGATCCTCCCACCTCAGGCTCCCGAGTGCTGGGACTACAGGCATGCACCACCACACCCAGCTTTTCCTTTTTTTTTCTTCCCTCTCCTCTCTTCCCTCCTCCCCCCTTCCTTCCTTCCTTTCCTCCTTCCTTCCTTCCTTCCTTCCCCTCCTTCCTTCCTTCCTTTCCTCCTTCCCTCCTTCCTTCTTTCCTTCCTTTCCTCCTTCCCTCCTTCCTTCTTTCCTTCCCTCCTTCCTTCTTTCCTTGCTTTTCTTCCTTCTTTCTTTTCCTTCTTTCTTGTAGTAGAGATTAAATGTTCCTATGTTTCCCAGGCTGGTCTCAAATTCCTGGCCCCAAGCCACTCAAATTCTCCCGCCTCAGCCACCCAAAGTGCTGGGATTACAGAATAAGCCACCACACCTGGCTTCTGGTGTCCCTTTGAACCCTCAAAATAACACTGCAAAATAGGTGACATTCCCATTGCAGAGATAGGGAGGCCTGGACTCAGGGAAGTTCAGTACTTGGCCAACATCGCACAGCCAGTGTGTGGCAAAGGTGGGGTGTGAACTCAGCAGTTGTAACACGGTCACAGTACCTTGCTCAATTCCAGACATATGAGACCTCAAGCCCATGAATACTAAATGCCACACTGTATACTAAACCCCTGAAGCTGAGCCAGCCCAGGTGGTCTCTGTCACTTACAACCAGAACCTCCTGAAATGTAATCTCAACCAGACAATAACCCCTTTGTATAGCTGAGCATGTGGTCATCTTACCTTTCCCCAAAGATTTGGCTCTGTTGGGTTTAGGGGAGTAGAGGGAACACAGAACTTTCCAGGGCCCATCATGCTGGAGTGAGGCTTTCTCTGGGGTCACAGAGGGTTGCCTCTGCCCTTTCAAGAAGGAGAATTTGAGCCCAGGCATGGGGGATTCAGGGGAGGAAGTGTCTCTGCTAGGACAGGGCATGGGCTTTGGAAGTCTCTCATTTCTCTGTTTGGTCTTCACCTCCATCTTTGTTTCAGAGGCTGGAGCTGCAGGAGAAGCTGGGGACAAGCGGGGAGAAGAAGCCTGTCTTGGTCCGGGCCTGAGCTGCACCATGCTCTCTGGGTTTCCTGGAGGTCCCTGTATCTTGGAGGCATCTGGCTCTTGTGAGACACCTGCCCCAAGGCCAGAAGCAAAGTCCAGTGGGTCCTCAAGGACATTCACGTAGGACCCTTGGGGCAGCCCTTCTGAGTCGTGGGTGGGTACTTTGTGATTGACCTTTCTCTTCAAGCCCAAAATGCAGGGCTCCTCCTCTGAGTTTTCTGGCTTTGTGCAAGCCCGTTTTCCCAAGGAAGGTCCTTCATTGGCCTCTGAGACAGGCAGTATCTTTTGAGATAAAGAAGTTTCCTTAGTTCCAGATATCTCCTCTAGTGCCTCAGAAGCACACCCACTGGATGTGCCCACCTCCCTACTGGGAGACTCTCCTCTGCTCTCTTGGGAAAAGCCTAGGAGAGCCACGTAGTCTCCCTCTAAGTTCTGGGTGACCACCTCATCCATCCTGAAGGCCACCTCCCCAGGCCTGGCTTGCTCCACCTTGATGAGTCCTGGATACTTGCTCCCATATATCCTGCCCTCACCCTTGGCCAAACTCTGGGCAAGAAGCACCTGGTTGTCTGGGGAGCTGGCCTGGTGCAACTCATGAGGGCTGCTCACATCCAGTGCCTCAAATGGAAGGGACCCCCAGGCTGGGCAGAGGGTATTCACTACTTGGGGTCTGTCATCCACAAACTCTGGGCTGGTTATCTTGGTCCAAGGCACAGGTGTAATCCCATTTTCTGATGCTACCAAGCAGTTTTGTAGAGGATTTCCCTCAAAGTCGCTGTTGATGGCCTCCAGCCATTCTTGGGTGAAAAGTATAGGGTAGGCTGGCTCAGGAACAGGCTTCTTGTCCACCGTGCGGAGGTCTAGGGAGAGGCATTTGATCATGATGCAGACGGACTGCTCCTCCTGGGGCTCCACTTGGAGGTAGAAGTCACCCTGGCGCAATAAGAGAGGGTTGAGGGGTGCCAAGTGGACCACCACTTCATCCCTCAGACAGAGCGGCCAGCCCTCGTGTAAGAAGAGGCAGTGTGAGTAGGGGGCCTGTGGAGAGAAGAGGACGGCATCAGAGAACCTGGCCCTGAAAGGCTCCACCCTTGGGTCTGCTCCTTTCCCTCTCCCATGTGGAATCTGGAACAGATCAGGGACTAGGATGAGGCAGCATTTAAGAGGCACTCACTGTCAAGGTTGTGTAAAGGTTGCCTCTCCTGCCCCACCCTAATCCTGGCCCTGACCTTGGAAATAGTTGCTAGCCTACTGACCCAAGTGAGAAAGCTCAGAGCACCATGCACTAGTTAGTAATTGGCTTTCCCAAGTGGTCCCCTGGCTTGGCTCATGCTCTCTTCCTCTCCCCGTGTATCCAGAACATTTCCTCACCCAGCTCAAGCTTTAGCTCACCATTTTAAAGCCAAGGAGACATGGTTTAGACAAAGGTCTACCTCGCTAATTCGTGCAAATTGCTTAACTTCTTTGAAACCCAATTTCCCTACCTGCAAATAGGGTAATAATACATGTCAGTATTACTGGGTTGGTATGAGGATTAAGTGAGATTATACAGGTGGGCCTTGATTTATGATGGGGTTACATCCTGGTAAATCCACCATAAGTTGAAGATATCATAGGTCAAAAATGCATTTAATGTACCTAATCTACAGAACATCATAGTTTATTTAGACTAGCGTATCTTAAGTGTGCACAGAATGCTTACATAAGCCTACAGTTAGCCAAAAATCATCTAACACAATGCCTATTTTATAATAAAGTGTTGAATACCTTATGTAATTCAGACAGTGTACTGAGGGTGAAGTACAAACAGTGTTGAATGAGAAGTCAGGGACTCTGATCCTGCCACTAACTTACCAGATGACCATCTACTTTTTCCTGACCCAAAGGTTATTCTGGGCCTGAATGTTTATTACTTATTTGTTTATTGTTTGTTTGTGTACTTATTTCTCATTAATGGATAACAACATGAAGGTTTATTTGTTAATTATTTCTTTCCCATTAATGGATAACAACATAAGGTGAAGCAAAACTTAAAATTTTTTTTTTTCCTTTTGGAGATAGAGTTTTGCTCTTATTGCCCAGGCTGGAGTGCAATGGCGTGATCTCAGCTCACTGAAACCTCCACCTCCTGGATTCAAGCGATTCTCCTGCCTGAGCCTCCCGAGTAGCTGGGATTACAGGCATGCAGCACCATGTCCGACTAATTTGGTATTTTTAGTAAAGATGGGATTTCTTCATGTTGGTCATTTAGGCTGGTCTCAAACTCCCGACCTCAGGTGATCTGCCCACCTCAGCCTCCCAAAGTGCTGGGATTACAGGCATGAGTCACCACGCCCAGCCAAAAAAAAAATATTTTTGACAGGAGTTGCCAGCAATTCCCTATATAGGTGGGCACAGCTGGTCATTCTGCAACAGGCTGTGACCCAAGTGCTCTCTCTCAGTTGAGCCTCTCTACTGGGCCGCACAGGACCAGTGTTCAACAGTGACACCATGTGGCAACAACGGAAACATCCGCTTCACTGGGCTGACAACAGGTCTTTCTTTAACTAGCTTTTGGAAAAGTCTGAGTTCTGTGGATTGTAAGTCCCAGTCAATCTTACATAATTTGGATGAGTGTGTGGGAGATGTGCAGAGAGTGACACTGAACTTCTGCTAACTAAGCAGGTGTTTCCTGGAATTACTGACTGGGGAAATGGTGAGATCTGACCACAGTTTTCTCTCACGTTGATAAACCCATTTATACCAGTTATATTGTAGATTGGGCTGACTCAGAGAAGCTTAATAGCCGTAAGCCTTCATGAGTCTGTAGGTTTCTCCACCCTTTTCACTTAGCCCTCTTGGGTTTGTAGCATGCCTTCTTTCTCACCTTCTCATTGAAGGAGAAAAAATCAGCCCAGCCATTTTTTTGCAAACAACAAAGCACCATAGTGATGCTGGCTTTGGTCATTTCATTTGACTTTCACAGTAACTCAGTGGTGTAGGCAGTTCAGTCATTATTGTTCTTATTTTACAGATGACGTGACTGAGGCTCAGCGTGGTGAAATATTTTGCTCACAGCCACACCGCTGATAAGCAGCAGGGACTTGGATAAGGCCTTCACATTTGAAGTCAGCTGTATCTGTCCCCAAGCCCCACCAGACTTTGTGTGAATGTGGCTACCTCTGGGTGACGGTGGCTGGAGGGGCAGACTTTGAGGCTGTCATGTTCCTATTTCAGATGGAGAAACAAGGAAGTGGGATGGCGATAGCCAATAGCTCCTGGGCACTTGCTGCATGCCAGAGTCTGCCCTAAGCCACAGTGTGTCAATTCTATGTGTTAGGTGCTGTGTTGTTAACATTTCTGCTTGACACTTAAGGAAACTGAAACTCAGAGGGGTGACATGGATCTCCCAAGTTTACAGTGATGAGCTTGGATTTGAACCTGGGGCATCTGACCCCAGAAGCCATCCTGTTAATTCCACATGACTTCCCCTGCTCCGAGGTGACACATATTTACCTGTCATGACAATTAGATTAAACTCACCTACAAGGAACAATAAAGATGTGAAAGGTTGTGACCTTGAGGAAGGGGCCAGTGCAAACGAAGTTTAAATGGCCAAATAAGGGAAGTGGGCAATAATCCCAGCACTTTGGGAGGCCGAGGTGGGCGGATCACCTGAGGTCGGGAGTTTGAGACCAGCCTAACTGACCAACATGAAGAAACTTCGTCTCTACTAAAAATACAAAATTAGCCAGACATGGTGGTGCATGCCTGTAATCCCAGCTACTCAGGAGGCTGAGGCAGGAGAATCGCTTGAACTCAGGAGGCGGAGGTTGCAGTGAGCCAAGATCACACCATTGCACTCCAGCCTGGGCAACAAGAGCAAAACTCTGTCTCCAAAAGGAAAAGAAAATTATTTCAGGGAGAAGAAATAAGGATGGGGGAGCATCTACATGAAACAGTGTCATGGGGAAGTGGCTGCAAATGTTTCCATGAGAAGCCCCCTTCTTCTCCAATATCAGTTCCCCTGTATTGAACTAATTCTATGAGCCAGGCTCTGTGCTAAGCATGTAAAATAGATTATCTCACTTTCCTTCTGGTTCCTAACACTGGACTTTTAGCTGCCACATTCAATTTATTTCTACCACTGAAATGATGCACACAGTCCCTCCCTTCCTTGCTGCTTCTGATGAGCTGTGTCCCCGGCAGGAAGTGAGCAACTCAGGACAAGCTGATGGGACCTTAGGCTGATGACAACTCAGGACAGGCTGATGGGACCTTAGGCTGATGACAACTCAGGACAGGCTGATGGGACCTCTTTGTGATTCTTGAGGCCGGGGTACCAAGAGGGTGGGCATTAATAACAGAGCAGGGAACAGTCGGGAAAGCTCAGAAGGGAATGGCAAGTTCCTGCAGTGGTCATTGGAAGGCTCATATCCAATCTCTCATCCTTTTCTGAAAACAACTCCACCCTCTGACCGTAGAGGTAGACACGTGACTCAAGCTTGGCCAATCTTGGCACCCCGCTTCTCTTGCCACAGTGATTGGTCCAGGAGTGGACATATGACCCAAGCCTGGCCAATCAGGACCCTTTCTTGAGATTTTTTTCTATGTGTAGTGGATGGGAAAGAGTTTATTTTCCTCTCCTAGAGCTTCCCTGGGCTCCAGCCTTGTGGGAACACTTAGCCTGAAAGAATGATGCCAACAAGCAGCGAGAAGCAGAGACTTGGGACAGAAAGGGTCTCCAAAGGGTTTGATCGGTGGATCAGCTGGGGCCTGAGGCCTGATCCACCATTTCCTGGGCTGAGTAAGGACTCTCATTTGCAGCCAATGAGTCTGCTTAAAACAATTTTCCCTCCACTCTGCCTTGGCAGAGACCTCCCTGAAATCTGAGTTTGAAGGGGTCACTAGGGAAGAAAGCAAGAGTCCTGATGCCTCAGGAGCTCCAGGGAAGCTCTGGGACCTTCTCTGCTGTTTCCACTGAAGCTTCCCCACTTCACCCAAGGCACCTAGCAGTGCCCACAATGTCAGGGGCATGGGAGACTCCCCAGGGCCAGGGAGCCACCAAGAATGCCTTTATTGGGGCCTTCTTCTCTGCTGGTGACACTACAATGTAATGGACTCATAGATGTCACAGGGTAAAGCCCCCTCCATCTGGGGGCTGACATCTTCCCTTGGGCAAGCAATGGTACTTGGAAAACCACTACACACCTTCAGTTCTTCCCACGAAACAAGATACATGCCAGCCCACCTCCTTCCCTACTCGCCGCCAGCCCTGTGACTTTCTGGGACAGCTTGTCCCCTGGTCCCGTTTCCCTCTCAACTTACACAGGCCGCTTCTCGCACTTGCTCACACAGGCGCTTGGCAGGAATCAGGAAATCCAGAAGGAAGCTCAGCCCATCCCCCTGGAAGTCGGAGTCCAGGAGACGAAACACCTGACCCAGGACGGTGGGTGCTGTGGCCTCAAAAGGAGGATAGAGGCCAGCCAGGGCATGCTGGATGGCTGTGTCCAGGGATGGAGGGTCCTGTAGGGGACAGGAGGAGGGAGTGGTCATCGCAACAATAATAAGGGCACAGGCCACTTCACGTGACCTTCCAGGCCCCCTATGCCTAAGGCGTCTGCTGACTCGGACCTCCTCTCCCCCCTCATCCCCCTTGCTCACCACCGCCAGCCACGCTGGTCGTCTTTCCTGTTTCTCAAACACACTAGCCACAATCTCACCTCAGGGCCTTTGCACTGGCGGTCCCTCTGCCTAGAATGCTCTTCCTCAAGACAGACACATTCCCGTACCTCTTGTAGGTCTTTGCTCAAATGACATCTGCCGATCCAAGGAGACGTGGAAGAGTTGGGGCGGGGGGTGCATTCAGGTCAGGGGCAAAGAGAAAGAGGATTTTGACATTGTCTCAATCTGACCACCTGGCTGGCCTGCGGACCTGCAGCTTGAGGCTGAGCCACGAGGGAAACCCAGCCCAGATCAGACAGCCCCAGTCCACGTGCAGATGGGAGAGTGAGAATAAGTGATTGCTGTTTTGCCACTGAGCTTTGGGGTCATTCGTCACACAGCAATAACTGATACAAGTCCACGGCTGCAGACCGTGGAGCCGGCTGCCTCCCAGTTACCACCTAGATGTGGTACAACCACCATATATCAGACCCAACCTGGCAACTTCCCAAAGCTGCTCCTCCCTAGTCCTGCTTCAGCGATGACCCCACCACCAGCCAGGCTCCCAGGCCAGAGCTCTGCTCACAGCACTGCTTCTCCTCCTGCCTCCCGACCCACAAACAGCCCTCGGCGTGTCCCCCACTCCACCTCCTCTCCACCAACAGTCACCAGCCATGTGCTCCGCTCCGTCCCCTGCTCCTGCCCTGATCCAGGCTTCACTGCCTCTTCCAGGGAGGAATTCAGAAGGCAGCTCAGCCCAGCCCCCTGGAAGTCAGAGTCCAGGAGACGAAACACTGGGCCCAGGATCCAGGATCTCCTGACTCTTCCTTGGCTGCCAAATTCTGGTCTTCCTTACCACAGCCATTTTCCACCAGGACTCCAGAGTGACCTTTCTCAAATGCAAACCTGACCTCAGCAGTCTCTGCTCCAAACCCCTCAAAGTCTCCCACTGTCTTCAGGAAGCATCAGCCTCCAGGCATCCAGCTCCCCCGAGAGCCGGCCGCTGCCCTCGGTGCCTGCCTCCCCCCAGCCTCGCCGGTCCTCTCCGTGCTTCGGCCACAGTGGCACATGCCTTTGCCCGCTCACCTCCAGGCCTCCACACGTGTGGTGCCTTCCTGCTGCAAAGCCCTTCACTCCCACCCCTCCTCAGCTGGCCAACTCCTGGTTCAAGACTCAGACAGTTCTTGAGCACCCCTCACTGCCTCAGTGAGATCAGGTGTCTGCTTTTCTAGGCAGTGCCCTCTACAGGCAGGTGTAATGGGTAGAATGACCTTCAATGATCATTCTGCCCATTACACCTAATCTCAGGGACCTGTGAAGAGGTTACCTTACAAGACAAGGGCGAGTTAAGGCTACCGATGGAATTAAGTTTGCCAATCAGCTGTCTTTAAAACAAGGCGACCATCCTGGATTAGACAAATAGGCCCAGTGTAATCGCCAGGTGGAAGAGGATGCAGACGAGGGAAGAGTCAGAGGAAATGTGACTGAGCCGGGTGCAGTGGCTTACACCTGTAATCCCAGCACTTTGGGAAGTTGAGGTGGGAGGATTGCCTGAGGCTAGGAGTTCGAGACCAGCCTGGCCAACATAGTGAGCTCCCACCTCTTTATTACATTAAAAAATAATAAATAGGCTGTGTGTTGTGGCTCATGCCTGTATCCCAGCACTTTGGGAGGCCAAGATGGGTGGATCCCTTGAGGTCAGGAGTTTGAGGCCAGCCTGGCCAACATGGCAAAACCCCATCTTTGCTAAAAATACAAAAAGTAACTGGGTGTGGTGATGCATGTCTATAGTTCCAGCTACTCAGAAGGCTGAGGCATGAGAATTGCTTGAACCTGGGAGACGGAGATTTCAATGAGCCGAGATGGCGCCACTGCACTCCAGCTTGGGCGACAGAGCAATAATAAATAAAATAAAATAATAAATAAGCGGAAATATGATGATGGGAGCAGGATCGGAGAGATGTGATGTCGCTGGCTCGGAAGATGGAGGGGGAGCCAAGGAATGCGGGCGTCTCCGAGAAGCTGGAGAAGGCAAGCAAATGAATTCTCCCCTAGAGCCTCCAGAGGAGAAACAGCCCTGCCAAGACTTTGTTTTCGGCCCAATGAGATGCATGTCAGGCCTCTGATCTTCCATTACCTGCAAGATACTACACTTGTGTCGAAAGCGTGTGAGTATTTGCTGCAGTGGCACCAGGAGGCGCGCACAGCGAGCACTGGCTCCGTTTCCTCTCTGGGGCCTCAGTGTCTGCACAGGATCCGGCACAAACAGGTGCTTTGTAAATTTTATGGAAGAAGGAACAACATGTCCCTCTCTGAACCACATTTTTTCTTTTCTTTTTTTTAGAATTGACATGAGAGTCTCTGTCATCCAGGCTGGAGTGCAGTGGTGCTATCTCGGCTCAATGCAGCCTCAACTTCCTGGGCTCCAGCAATCCTTCCACCTCAGCCTCCAGAGTAGCTGTGAACCATAGGCACCCGCCATCATACCTGGCTAATTTTTGTATTTTTGGTAGAGATGGGATTTCACCATGTTGCTGAGGCTGGTCTTGAACTCCTGAGCTCAAGCTATCTACCCACCTTGCCTTCCCAAAGGGCTGGGATTACAGGCGTGAGCCACCGCACCTGGCCAGAACCACAATTTTTCTGTCAAATAGACAAGTTGGACTAGGCCACAGGTTTCTACTCAGGTATGGTCTTAGGACCCATGGGTCATGAGCCTCACAGATGGCCCAGCATTCTGGTGGCCCCAGCCTGGTTGCAAGCTCCAGGTCCACCTGTTTCCCAGGGGCGTAAAGGGAGATGAGAATAAATAAGGACTCCATGCAAAGGGAGCTGACTTAGGAGGGAAAAATCATTTTAGTAAATGAGGCCCCGAGGACAGAGAAATACAATAGAAACTCTGAGGAGGAGGAGGGTGACATTTCTCAATGCCAGCAAGATTCCAATGCCAGGATGGCGGCCCCCTACGCCCCGCACTGTGTGGGCTACACAGTGCTGGGCGCAGGGGGCCGCCATCACTATTTGTAGAATGAGTGAGTGAACGAATGAGTGTCCACAGCCCATTGTGAAGGAAACAAGGTCTGGACACTGCTGTGGCAGTGAGCTCAGAGAGGATGTGGACCCGCAGGCATTTGGTGCCGAAATGACACGTACCCTGGAGGTTTTACACTGAGGTGGGGAAGGGGCCTTCAACTTGGCAGAACAGGGAAAGTCTCTTCTGGCCTGGTGTCCTCTTCTAATCCCCCTAACCCCCACCATAGTCAAACCCTGACATTTCCCGCCCCATGCAATCCTGGGGGCAGCCTCCTCCCCTGCCCTGTCCCCGTCCCTCTCCCTCCCTCCTCTCCTGGGACATCGGCTCCAGCCTCGCTGTCCAGCCTTGAGTAGGTCCCTTCCCTCTCTGGGCCTCTTTCCTTGTGTAAAGAAAGCATATTGAAGCTGGGCTAAGCTTGTTTTGTTTTGGTTTTGGAAATTTAATCATTCATGATTACTTTTATGATTTGTAGCATCTCCTCATGCCATTTATACTATTAGTGCTTAGTATTTTTCTTCAAATCCACTCACTTTTTCAAAACTTACATAATTGTGTTTTTCAGTAAGCCTCTATCATCACAGTGGTTGTGTGAGGGCAGCCAGACTGCCCGGGTTCAAACTCTGGTTGTGTGTGCTGGCAAGTCAGACTTAACTCGTTGTGCCTCAGTTTCCTCATCTGTAAAACGGAGATGGTAATTACACCCACCTTAAAGAGTTGATCAAGATTGGATGAGATAACACACATGAATTTTCTGCCCAGGGCTAGCATTTAGTAGGTGTTCACTAACAGCCATCACTACAATTTCTGTGGTCATATTATTATTATTATGTGGTTTTAAGGAGCAGAGAGTTTAATAGGCAAGAAAGAAGAAAACAGCACCCCCTTACAGAGACGGAGGGGCGATTCGAAGAAAGAGAAAACCCCTGTGCAGCGGAAAAGCAGCTGCTTATATGAGGAGGCTGGAAGAGGCGGTGTCTGATTTGCCTAGGGCTCAGGGGATTGGTTTGCCCAGGCATGTCACTCATGCAGCCCACGGAAAAAACTGGTCCTCCCACCCTAGCCTTTTAATATGCAAATGTAGCAAGCCGTGATGTTCTACACACGTGGGGATATGTGGGGATATGGGGGGGCGGCCATGTGACCAGGCACATGTGGGGGCTGGGCAAGAAGAAGAGGGTGGGAATCACCATGTTTGGTTGGATCTGTGGTCAAATGATAATCGTTATTACGTCATCACTATAAATGAAAAAAATCAATGTAAACTGGCATAAATAGAATGCAACTCCAAAAATAAACTGATGATGCATTGGATGGTTTTTATTTCATTTATAAAAATATATTTATATATATTATTTATTATATAAAGTCTATTTTATGCTTACTGTTTTATTTCTTTGAAAATAAACTACTTTTAGAAATAAGAGTAAACCATGCAAATGAATAGTGCCACTAAATTCTAGGGACATCTGGTCACCTCTTGGAGGCTAAGGGAGTCTTCTCCCTTTCTTTCTCTCAAATGCATCAGAGAGATGTTGAAGACATCTTTTCACCAGAGGAAGGCCTTCTCCTTAGGTCTGCAGCAGCTCGGAGAATTTGAAAGGGACTGCCTGTCTCACCACATGGTTCCATGTCATTTAGTTCCAGTCTGTGCCATACCTTGTGTCTAACTAGGCCTACATTCCTGGCCCCTGTACCATGCTCATGACCTTCCGGACTGACCCGGGTAACCTCGTAGGTGCAGAGGGACAAAGAAAACTATCTGCTCACAGCAGTTATACCTGGGCAGGGGAGTAGAGGTGTGTGTATATTTCTATTTCTATGTCTTTGC